AGGGCCACGGGAAAAGGAGATAAAGTGAGTAGAAGAAAGAAATAGATATTCACTTTTTTATCAATAAAATTCTATGCTTTCAAAAACTTGATATCACTTTTTATTTTCAATTGTTTTAATCGTTTATAAAGAGTTTTTATAAAAGTATTAAATTTAACCTGAAAGAAAAAAAAAACTGTTGTTGAATCAGTGCATTACTAACTTTTGTTTTTTATGTAATTCAATTAATCATATCGTCGAATATTTGCGCCAAATTTCTATGTGAAAACGTTGGCTCACAAAGATTTTATTATTTTAGTAATTCGAACTGAAAGACAAATGTCGGACAGTAAGGTTGTACCGGTTGATGGCGGTGAATTGGAGCAGAAGCAACAGGAGTTTGAGCCAAAAGATGAATCGAAGGAAGAACCAAAAATTGAGACGGTAAACTTAAACTTCAAAACAATTGTAAACGTATATATATATATATATATATATATATATATCCTGTTTTATCAATTCGGTTAATAAATAAATGTTTCATTAATCACTATTAACTGTGAATATATTCTGTTAAACAGATGTAAAATTTTTGCAATATATTAGAAGATTTTACTTGAGAAGTTATGACACCAATGAACTGCTGCCTAAAAGTTAACAACTTTTTCTACACTCAGTAAACTGTTGAGGTTTTTTGGTGCGTAAATATTTTTCAGCCTTTTGTTTTTTATCAAACAGGAAAACTGAAAACATAGAAGATAAAAATAGCATTCGTCATTTTTTTCATATATCTTAACAGTTTGAACAAAAACTAAAGAAATAACAAAAGAAAAAAATTTTGTAACATAAGAAGAAGAAAATTTTTTGTATGTGCAATGAAAAATAGGCTCTGAAAGTGACAGTTGATTAGCATTTAAATCTGTTGATAAATTAATAGATACTGTTTTGTTACGATAAATCTCTGGTGGCCAAAAAAAAAAAAGGAACGAAGAAAGTTTTTACAAGTTTTCAAAATTGATAACTCTCATTATTTTTAAGCTTATTATAGCTGTGTCATCTGCTTTAAAAATTTCCTCATCTGTCATAAGTTTCATTAAGATTTTTTTGATAAAAAGAAAAATTGGTATTTTTTATCAGCAGAAAGAAGAGGA